TTTGAAGAGCCGAAAATTTTCTCTTCTGAAAATTACGCTTTCAAAGTTGTATATTTATTTGTTTGATTTGTGGATAAAAATATAAGCGAAAAATAAAATGATTTAGGCGCGGTTTAGATTGAAAATAAAGAGCTTGTTTACATTAGAACTGTTTGTATGGCTAAAATTTAAAGGTCAGGTGTTAAAAAAAAAAAAATCCCTTGGAGAAATAACGGACACCCTAATGTACATACATACATATAAGCGATAATGCCATTAGAAATTGCGCTTGCAAAAATATGTTTTCGCAAAACACACAGAGACAACCAGCCAACACCTGTATAAGCAATGTGTAGTTGCTAAATATTGCATAATTGGCATGTTTATTCTGAATATACATTTATTATTGTTTTAAGTAAATCATATTAAAACAAAAGTATTTTTCATGATTGTATACATAAAACTATGATGCATTTTCTACGAAATATATAAATAGTGCCAACTCTGTGGTTTTATATATTATATTTAGCAATATATTTATTTTTTTGTTCAAGTTAATAAATTAGTTATTTAGCCTAACGGACGAGCGGTCAGTTGTCTCCGAGCATCTGGCGAATCAAGACGGACCGAAACCAAAAATGCAGCGTTCGTTAGAGCAGAGGTGTCCAAGAGAGGTGCTGCTTTATCAAGAATTGGTGTGTTTTTTCGTTGGCACCAGGCCTTTTTGGAAGGCCAAATCAAGGTATAGCAAATCCAAAGTAAAAACAGTGGTCATTGTCGTTTTTGACATCGAAGGCATCGTTCACCATGAACTTAATTCTTCTAGACAAACCGCCAATGAAAAATTTTACGTGGAAGTCTTCAAGAGACTCAAACGAAGGGTCAATCAGGTTCGACAAGGCATCGCAGTCGATTTTAAGTTGCCCCACGATAACGACCCGGCTCACACTACCTAATGAAGGCCGACATCCCAACGTTTCCGCAGGCACCCTACAGCCCAGATGTACCCCCTGGACTTTTCTTGTTTCCTTGCTTGAAAAGGCCGATGGAAGGCAAGCGTTTTGAGACGAACGCTGTCCGACCAAAGATTTTTCAACGGATGTTGTATAGAAACCACGTTTTTCAATGAAGTAGTAAGCGTTAAGTAAAATTAATTAAGCATTAAAGTACCGTTTAATTAAGCACTTCATATTAAATATAGTACTTTGAATTTATTTTATTACACTTTCACTTCCTCAAAACTTGCTTTCAATATTGAAATTGCACGCATCAAAGCGCCACAGCGTAACTAATTACTGTCTCAGCATTTGTCTTTTGTTTGCAGGACAATTAAGAAGACACGCAAAGGACAAGCCCATTTAATTTTACGCGTAGCAGACAAAGCAAAACAAAAAATGTTGGAGGAAACAAAGAAAACATACAAAATTAAAAAAATAAAAGCGCACAAAAGCGCAGCAGACAAAAGCACTGCTGGAAACACGGCGTATCTGCCACAACATGACACGAAAAAGCAGGGAGTGAGCAGTAGAAAGCCAACTCCCATACACACATACATATGTATATGTACATATATGTACATGTAAAAGTGAAAAATTCAGTGCAGACACCTGCTGCTGTTACTCACATTGGCGTTATCCTGCAGCGCTTTGCACTTGGCCTTTTCCTCAGCATCCGTTATATTCTCAATGCGGGCGTTGATTTTCTATAAAGCAAAAGAAATACATTTCCCACATTAGTATTGTATCAATTTACATTTTTTTTCTTTTTTTGTATAAAATTCCATTTTCTTTTTACACAAATTTTCGCCACTCACATTCGTCTGCTCGATGATCAACTGCAAATATGCGTCCGCTTCCGACACACGTCGACCGAGTAATTCCAAGTGGTTTGCACGTTTGTTGCCTACCACATCCTTCTGATAGCCGCCAAGGTAGAAAGTGCTTTGATTGTCCCACAGACGAGAGCGATTCGCATGCCGTCGTATGGTGTCCTCAAGTCGTCTAACCCACTTTTCACGTTCTTCGCTGTGTTGCGCCTGCGGTTGAATGCGGATTCGGGAGTGTGGGTCATGGAGTGTTTGCGTGATTTGTTTGGTTTTTTTTTTCGTTTGTTGTTTGGGAGAGAGAGAGAGAGATAAAGCAGAGAGAAAGGTTATTGTGGTATGAAGGTTGAATGTATTTGAATAGCAACAAATAACGGTTGTATAGAGTGATTGTACATACATACACAAGTGGAAATACATATATATTTACACATACTATATTTTATTATTATTTATTTACAGTTAAGTTTTTTATAACCGGACACCGTCACAGTGTCCAGGTAATGGAACTGTTTATATATGGCGGTTGCCACGCCGCGAGTATTTAAAGTGTAAGAATAATGGATGCGAAACTTATTTGTGAATTTAAAAATTTACAACTTGATTTGTTGGTGTTGTATTAAAAAAATCGTTATTTTGCACAGAATACTTTGAAATTCCAAAATTACTGAACAAAATAATTGTCATAAGTAAGGCTATGTTGAAAAGAATATAAATATTATATTTCGCTGATAAAGGTAGGGGTAGGTAGGCAGAGTAGCCACTCTGACTCACTTCTCATATATATATTATAAGCTTAGTTAAGATAATTGGGGAAAATTCTAAACATGGTAAATCGATTTTGAAACCAAGCTTTCATTATATTAAGGGATCACATGAATTTACGGGTTTCAAAAAAAAATTTCGAATTTTTTATCGGTTATATTGATCCAAGTAACAGTTTCGGAGATACAGCATTGAGAACTTGTGCGCTTGTATTTAAGCGCGAGTTTTTCGAAACCGTGTTTTTGAAGTCGATTGCCAAGATTTCTTGGGAACCACTCAACCGATCTTCCTAAAATTTTACACAGCTGTTTGAGATACAATTCTTAAAGATTTGGACGAAGGATTTTTTTTATTACAACTATTTAAAAAAAAATGTGGAGCAATTTTCTTTTTTTTTTTGTAAAAATGTTTGCCAAAAATACAATTTTTAGTTTTTTTATCTTCGTCCAAGTTCTAAGTTAAGGTTTTAACTAAAAGACGTATTTTTTCACTTTACAATATGCTGTTATACTGCCAACGAGGGCGCATATTTATCCGAGGGGTCACCGCAAATGGCGTCGCAATGACCAAGTTCAAAATATTTTTTCAAAAATTTCAGAATTTCTTTGTTAATAGTATATGTTTGTAAAAATAAAAAAATTTTAATAAAATATTTCATATTTTGTGTGAGAAAAAATTTATTAAAAAAAACGCTATTTTTTACCCATGGCAGCACACATCTTTTAACGAGTTATATGATTACATCAAACCGACTGACACCAGGGGTTTTATGGGAGCGTTCCATCGAAAACGCGCACTTCTGGGCCTCAGGCAAGAGATGTGTATTGAAACAAACAGCATTTTTGGAAGACAAATACGCCACTACAGAAACAACAATAACGAGTAATTTTTTATAAAAAATCATGACTTCATTATCTGCTCGACTGTTGGTCAAATTCCAAACAAATATCTATAAAGATTCTGCAGTTTGCAAACAGACGGAAATTTGCCGTTCCCACGACAGTCGGGTGTACGAAAACCGGAACGGACCCGGATTTTTATCCGGCCAAGGACTGTCAACTCGGCAGAATTCTGCCGTTACAACAACAACAGACGGAAATTTGGACATGACTCGAAACACTCAGTTGACCTTTGTGTTTAGTTCTAACGCAAACAGTTGACTACTCCGCTTCTTCTTTAACTATTATATGCATAATTTTCTTTAATATGAATTAATATTTTCTACAAAAACTTAAAATAAATTTCAAAAATAACCTCACCGTACATACCTGAAAGTGAAATGTCTTGTGATCCACAGTTATTGTGAAGGTGTTATCCTCTTGATCGTCTATGCCGATAACAGCATCTTTGAGGCGCACGCAGCCGCGACGTACACCTTTCATCATTTTCTCCTTCGACTGCAAATAACGGTAAGGAAAATCATATGAGAAATTTGCGATAAAGGAATGTACGAAGGTGTGTAAGTAAATATAGGTAAGTCAGTATGTATGTGTGTAAATATATAGATTTGTTAAGGCAGCACACATCTTTTAACGAGTTAATGAACAACAAGTGTTTGATTGCATTTAAAATCAATAAAGTAATCGAAACGGGTATCGGTGAGTGGGTAAGGTGGCCCTACCAAGAGCTGCAAGCATCCAATTGAAGACGTTTTATAACGGTAAAGGAAAGCCTTATGAATGACGTTTGACAAAAGGCACGTGCAAAGAAGGTGTATGCTAAACAAAAACAATTATATGTATGCACGTGCATGTGTATATATGTATGTATGTATGTATGTACACATGCACGTTTATAAAGTTATGCAAGAAAATGCATTTAATCGATGTACGTTCGCTCCAATGGCTGAATTAACTGGCGTTCATACAAACTCGTTTACATACGGCATCAAGAACTTGTATATATATATGTACATAAAATAGTAGGCCTCTGCATTAATTCAATTCAATTGTGTTTCATGCTAATGCAACTATTCAATGCAACTTTGTAGTGTGACAAAAATCACAAATTTAAATTAAAAAAAAAAAATAAATAAATAAATAAAAATGATAAAAGGCAAAAAAAGAAAAAAAATTATTTCAAGAAAATTAAAATAAATGTTAATCGATCGGCAACACACTTGTCGCTTCTTCCATGCAATCATTTAAATAACTCAAAATACGCTAATTAAAAATGTAGCACTGGAAGAGCCGAGCTTAAAGGTTCAATATCGCATACAATTGCGTTTTGTGTGTATTTACACATATTTACTATATACATACATACATACATATACACAAATATAGTATATACTATTTACCATTTACATATATGCATATACATAAGTACATACATATGTACGTATATATTACTGTAAGGGACGTCTGGTTCTTAAATGTATATATTAAATTTTTTGCTAGTTTTTAGTGACTCGTTTTTTAAATATACACGCAGCTACACTCTTTTTCCGTCCAATCGGTGCTTTGGGTTCTTGAAGCGCCCATACTGCATTTATTCTCCACTTAGTAAAGGCAGTTTGGTGCGTCTTGTCTTGACTTCAGCGCGTCTTACACAATACCGTTAAACTATATCAGAACATAAAGTCGAAAGGATAATAAGCAAAAAGGATTCATCTACCGAACCGTTGTGGTGGAATATATTATTATTTAATTTTGTGAACGAAACAGTATTTGTGTGTGTGTGTGAAATGGATATTTTTCCCAATATGAACGAGGTGGATTACAGCTGCACCTGTTAGTATGCCAAAAAAAAATCATTTTAAACATTATCATATAAATTGCAGATTTTTCCTTGACTTCTATTGACGTCTGTTATTTTATAAAAAAATGTGTACTTCGTGCAAAAATTTTATATAATAACGTCAAAATTCATACAAAATTGGAAAAAAAAACATTAACTTCGGTTGCACTGAAGCTATAAAACCCTTCACAGGTGCATTTTTTATAGTATAAGTAAAAGGATATTAAGAGATCATTATCTGATTTTGTTCGGGAAGTTGTATAGCAGCTATGTATATGCTGTAGTGGTCCGATCCGAACAATATCTTAGTATATTATGTCGTTACCGTCTACAAAAATCCATGCAAAATTTCATGAAAATTTTTCGTCAAATAAAAAAGCTATTCATATAAGAACTGTTTGTTCAGCAGTCTTATGCTATAGTGGTCCGATCTGAACAATTTCTACGAAGATTGTGCCGTTGCTTTGGACAACAACCCATACAAAATTTTATGAAGATATCTCGTCAAATGAGAAAGTTTTCCATATAAGAAGTAGATTTTGTTCGGTTGTTTGTATGGCAACTAAATGCCATAGTAGTCTGATATCGGCGGTTCCGACAAAAAAGCAGCTTCTTGGTGCGAAAAAAACGTATGCAAAATGCCACAAAACTGAGTTCACATACATATATAAAGGCGGACAGACAGATGTACTTAAAAAACTTATTTTAGAATTTTATATTTATGTATAAATTATATTAAGATATATTATTTAACTTTTATTTTTCATATTTGATAGCAAACGAGATGGAGGAGTGGTTTGGGTTGGGTACGCCCATGTTCATATTTGCGGTTTTGATGGCATATTTGCTGTTAATTTATAAAATATTACCGAAGTAAGTTTTTTAATTATATACTATGAGGAAATACATACATACATATCAATATGTATATACAAAGAATCATTTACACAAAATATATAAATTTTAAGTTTAAAAATATTATAAATCCATAATTCCAGCGTAAGCTAAATTTCGCAAAATTTTTTAGAACATTCTTGCTAAGTTTTTTATTTAACTGTCAATATTAAAAAAACAAAAAAAGTATGATAAAAATTTCATAATTATAATTTTCACTATAACTTGAAGAAATGTTCATTAGTTCCCGACACACTACTGATAAGCTAAATAATATTGTGGTAATCGTTTATATGTAAATCATTTTAGTTATTAAAGCAACATTCGAAAAATCGCTTAAAAACCTAACCTAAAATTTCTATTTATATATCGACATCTGCGAACTAAGAAATTTAATAAATTTACCTTATGAATATTTTTAAAAATTTTCCATAGACTTTTAACACAAATGAGGTGCACACATCCATATGTATATACATACAAAACTGCATACATACATACGTATTTTGAGTCTATTTATCTTTGCATTTCCGCAAATGATAGGCGGTAAATAAAACCACATTACATAATTGTCTTATTTTACAAGAATTTAATTAGTACGCGTGCTTTATTGAGCTCGGTGTGACGGTTAAAGCGTCTTTTAGGACAAATTAATTAGCATTTGATCGGAAATTCATGAGAATAATTAGGCTGGGAAGTGAATTTCTTTCAAAGTATGCCGTCGCCCTTTAAGCGTACAAATAAATTAATAAATAAACGTGGAAAAATCGTTAAACAATTAAATTGAATTTAAGGTCTGCTACTCAAATACATATGTATGTATGCACAATATACGCATATACACACAGGAAGCACATAATACAAAAAAAAAAAAAAAAAAAAAAAAAAAAAAAAAAAAAAAAAAAAAAAAAAAAAAAAAAAAAAAAAAAAAAAAAAAAACCAATGAAAGTACAATTAACAAAGGGCAAGCATTTCAATACAGAAGATCAATGTTTAAGCTCATGCTATATAATTATTAGCTTGAACTTGTGCAATTCTAATAAATATGTGTTACAAATACGCACATTTGTCATGTTGTTTTGAATATAAAACTTTTTTATTTGCAGTTATATGGAGGATCGTGAGCCGTACCAGTTAAAGACCTACATTATAGTCTACAATGCAATGCAAATGCTGTCATGTATCTATATAATCACTGGGGTAAATTTATACATGCATAACACATATATTTTATATTTAAATTGCACATATTTATTTCTACAGATTTTCCGTATAGCCTCAACAAGCGTTTTTCATTTCTGGGATTGCCTTTTATTAGAACCGAACTCATATTCGGAATATCTGTTTAATCGCGTCACATACTTTACATTCTGGCTAAAGATTAGTGAGCTGTCGGAAACTATTGTATTCGTATTACGTAAAAAACAGAATCAGGTGTCATATCTGCATGTATTCCATCACTGCTCAACTGTTTCATTAATATATATCCTGTGTACGGATTATAGAGGTAAGTAATCCAATGTAAATCATTGCATTGTTATCAATCTTTACTTTCTCAGGTACCTCACCTTTGTATCCGATTTTGCTCAATTCCACTGTGCATGTAATTATGTATGCCTACTACTTGGCCGCAGCTGTGTGCGATGCGGAAACTATAAAGCGTTTAACACCAATCAAGAAATCGATTACCACTATTCAAATGATACAATTCGTGCTGATTCTTATCCAAGCGGGATTCTTGATGTTTCGCTGCGAAATATCCAAGTGGGTTACAACTTACTATTCTATCGTTGTGATTGTTATATTCTATGGATTTTATGATTTCTATAATAAGGCTTACAAAGCTGCTAATAATAGTAGAATTAGTAATAAGAGCAGTTAATGCTTAGTTGTATTTGTTATTGTAATAAATTTAATTTTTATAGTTTTGTGTAAGCTGCTTATAACTAAATGGTCTTGAAAAATTGTTTAAACAAAAACTCATAAGAAGTTTTGTTTTAGTAAGTTTTGGTAATAATATCTCTCGCAAATATTTTAATTTTTATAAAGCATTTGGTATTGATTGAAGAGATCATGCTAAATTTCTTGTTATTAGCTCGTAAAATAAACTTAAATTATTCCCTAATTTTGATCGTTCAATTGGTAAGTTTGCTATATGCTACTGTGATTTTTAAATCAAATTGTACATGAATTCGTAGAAAATAATGTAAGCACCAACAAACTTCGAACTAAATATATGATATAAGGTCTAACTCTACACATCTTTAATACTTATGAGTTATATAATTTTAAATTAAAGAATTAAGACGCAATAGAAATTTTCGAATTTTTACAAACTCTAAAAGAAGGCTTATTTCACCTTTGAGGTGTGTGTTAGGTCGAAATTTCAAGAATTCCGTAGTAAACAAAAAAATAAAGTCTCTTTTAATATACCATCATGCACAAATTTTATTGCTATTTATGATTTTTTTGTTTTTTTAATTTAATTCAGAAGTCTAAAAATATTTTATTAGGCATATTTGTCAATATAAAAAGTGCGTGTAGTTCCATCAGAATACACATACATAAATATACACAACTGAAAAGATAAAACTAAAAACAAATTTCAAAAGTTCAGTAACAAAACTAAGACCTTCTGATAAATGTGACGTTTATTTAATAAATTGTGTGATATTGAATTAATTCAAGTTCTGTTAATAGTCATTTGGAATCAGTGCATTAGATTTATCATAATGGTATTACTATGTTATTCTTAAACATATTGAGGCTATCATAATAGCAGCTATCAACAAACGAAGGAATCAATGTTATCAGTGGATTACACTTACAGCAGCTATACGCTGCTAAAGGAGTATGATTTGATAACGCTTATTAAATACACCGTTGAGCCATGCACACAATTGTATACATTTATATTTTGACTGACTACATTAATCATGATGCGTAATTAACTGCTGCCGCGCCCTTAATTTTAAACTATTTTCAGCTTTTATGTTTCGCATTTATAACCAGCGGTTGAAAATTTTTGGCTAGCATTCAAGGTCAGAACTCACCGTATAGTATGACAATAGGCCAGCATTCTCGTCTAGCACGAAAAAGCGATATTGCCAACCTTTCATCACATTTGTCCATTTACTAAGTGTTCCCTCCAGCGTGGTGGACATGATTTTGCACTTTAGAGTTTGTTTTTCAAGCACCGAATGAAAGCGTAATATGTAAATAAGTATTTGCCGCACCGTAAATTGAATCAGCACCTATACCGGCAGGTGACGCAACTTTACTCTATGGTTGTTTACTATTTCATGCAAATAATATAAATAATTAACTAAAAATGCGACGGCGTAGTAGTTAATTTTTTGTTATACACACTAAAGTTACTTTTGTCCAACAATGCTAATTGTGACGTATAATTTATCTGCTTCTCCTGCAATTGAAGTTGTCCCAATCTTTGCTGCATTGCCCTTTGCGTGAATAACACACATTCACGATAAATTCTTTCGATTTGATACACGGATTCGTTTCAGTGCAGCTTTTGTCGCAGGTGTGGAGGTACACTGAAACGATTGGAAATCGAAACATGTTAAAAGGCGTGCCACAAAAGTGAGAAATTAAAAAGCACATTAATCGAAACTATTGCATATAGCGTATATTTTAGTTTTTTTGCATTTCTAATTGGCAGCGATTTTTCGCAAAACATAATAGGCCTCAATAATTAAAATAACAGGCAAACAGGGTGATTCGAATGAAATAATTTTAATGTCAATAATTTTTAGTACAGCATGTAGTTACCGAATTTGCTTTATTTGTTTATTTTCAATTTCGTACTGTATCGTTAGGTGGGCAAAATTCAAATTAATTGAGAAAAAAAACATTTTTCCAATGTTAGGATAGATTGGCAGTGTGAGCGTTTATTTTCTTTACAAAACTATAGAGATGGCAAATTTGCATTGCTGAAAACAATTAAAATACATAATGTTTCGATTTATGATAAACAAGCATTTGTAGTTTTTTATTTTTTATATTCTATTTCTTTATTAAGTATTTGCAGATCCCAACTTACGCTCGTATACTAATACTCAACAAATTACATTGTTATTTGGTATAAAAATTAAGCTAATATTTTCGTAATGTAAACAATAATAAAACAAATTATTTATAGTATTAAAACCAAACTAAAATGTCTCCAGCGGTTGAGCTAATGTCGCAATGTTAGTAAAATAACCGGCAAACACGTAACGATATAACAAATAGCCGAACAGTGCGATCCATAGGCCTTTAACGAGCTTATCCAAGCACCACATGCTACAAAAAAAAAAAAAATTTGTTTATAAATAAAATAAACGGTTATTTTTATTACACAATAACTCAATAACCTACATCTTCATATGCCTTCTAGCAGCAGGTATGGTATCATCGCTCTCCTTCAGTATCAGACGGCGTGCACAGAGTATACACTGCGTGAAATAATCAATCAGATCCACGTCGATCTTCTCTATAACATAGGTGAGCCGCTCCTTCTTATTCATCAACGTACGTATGTTAACCACCTCGGTGTTATCGAAATTCCAAATATTATTCGCATAGTATTCGAACACTTGAAAACCATTACTGATGCGTTTCTGCACACGACAGAGACTGGAAAGCGCGTGTATAATTAAAAAAACATATAGATTTTCATAAAAATATAAGTAAAAAAACACTCACACTGGCGGATACCGCAACAGTATCAATAGCGCATCCACAAATAACGCCGGTATCCAATGGAAGAGCACCATACACACGACATGCAAATAATAGTTGGACTTCATTGAACCACCCGGATACCAGGCTACACCATTAAGCGGTATCTTATTCTCAATTACCCAACGGCCGCATTCGATAATCTCATTCCATGACACTTTAATATCATTCGAACTGGTCATATGCGCCACACGATTAACTTTACTGCGATCGGTGGCCGTTAGAAAACGCCAACTAGCCACCAACATGCCATTTACAGCTATGTCCACGGGTAAAAAGTCGCCATAACCCGAGGAGTTGCAGTACATCGTGCGTATGACACCTTTACCGGCGCCAATTAGCAAGCCGGTCGGTCCATTTATATTGTCTGTCCAACCGGGTAGCGGTTCCTTCCAGATCGGTATGACAATGGAGGGCCGCAGTATCACGGCGGGCAATTCATTAAACTTCTCCACGACCAGCGCTTCAGCCAGAGATTTGGTGTAGGCATAAGTGTTGGGTATGTCACCTAAGATTTTCTTCTCGATTGTACACACTTCGTCATCGCTGAGCCACTCGCAAGCTTGCATCACGTGGTGAGGATTTGCTGGTGGATCGTAAGGCTTCTCGTAGAGTGTCTTAATATGCAGATGACAGTAAGCAGTGGAGACGTAAGCTATTAGGTCTAGATGTTTGATTGTAGCCGCCACCTTCAGCATATAGTGTGTACCGCGTGTATTCATGAAAACCGCTTTGCGTAAGGGCTCGTCGAAACTGTTGTAAGAGAAGAAAATTTTGAATTAATAATATTTATTAAGTAAAGATTGTTTTAAACTGAATTTTTGCCTGAGAGCTCTACGTATTTGAAGATCACAGTTATATATACATTCAAAAGCTTAATAACTGTTAAAAAGAGCTACTACTCATACGTCTCAAATTAAGAGAGTTTCTATTGCTTTAGATTAGATTTAGAAAATTTTTTCAAGATATCTTACTTGGAGGTTACAAAATCAGATGTACAAAGTAGTAGAAGAAAGAACATTCAGATCGCGAAAAGTACATTCGAAAGAGCTCAGCAACAGACAGACTTTTCTGCGTTACGGAAAAGAGAATCCAGAATGTTTAAGAGACCTCAATTAATTTTTAACAGCATATGCTGAAGCTCATGTAGGCGTCTCTAATGGAATCAACCCCAAGTATAATGCCTATATAGCTTATTTGGCTTAGAGACCTTCTGAGCAAGACGTACAAAGTTCACAGGCGCCACTGCTGCAAGCTTCCTTAGAAAGTCAAAATGATAGGTATTTAAAATTGGATGCGAAGGATAATTGATAAAATAATTATAAAAATAGGTGGAAAAAATATACAGCATTTTTTAAGTTTTGAGTAAAATATATAATGGTATTTTAGCTCAGATTAACTTGGATGGGTTTCCCTATCTTTTATCGCTAAATAGGCTTAGTTTATTTTTTTCTGACACTATCGGCCCTAATTCCAAATTGAGAATTTTTTTCCCCTAAATATCTGGCCTTCGTGAAGTGACGTCATTGTAGATCTTCTTTGGGAAATATACATACTTCGATGTTCTATATTTAGTTGCTTTCAATCCACTGATACTGCACTTCACTCGCTATGCCCTGGGCGTATTTCTTGACATAAGTCGATCAGTCAACAATTTTTTCAACAGAGCAAACGCTAAAAGTCTGGAAGCAGCCTCTATAGAGCCTGTAATTATAGCATGGATAAAAGTTCTACTGAGCTTCAGGAGGATTAGTGCCGAATGGAACGAAGCCAGTGGGTTAGATTAGCGCAAATAGGAACTCCTCAGAGAGTGTACTGTCCCCATTCCTATTACAATATCATCTTGTATCACTTGTAGCTAATGAGCTTCTGAAAAAATGTGAAAGTAAATCAGCCAAACTTATAGTCAATGCAGAGAACAAAGCTGTAATAGGGATGGGGAGCTTCCTAATTGCCAATAAGACGAATATGGCACAAAACTAGGACATGCAAAGCCCCGAGGTTCAACGAGCCCCTAACTTGACCTCATGCATTGACGTTACACAGCGGCAGTTAAGCCTAACGCGAAGAACAACACCGACGGCGGAACTAGAAAGTTACACAACCTACCACCAATTGACAGTGGGTTGATGAATAAAGCCGTATTCATTTATGCTTTACTCTTATTAGGGGGGAGAAGGTTTTAAGTCACTCTAAAAGAGGGTGGCACAAAAGCATGAGAGTCAGCTGATCGAAAATGGCTAATGGAGTGGGCGAAGCAATTTATTGCTCGGAAATGAATCTAAGGCGACCCTTCAAGAAAATACTGCACTTCCGAAATACTGCAGAGGATTTTCTCATAAAGAAAGCGTCTGAGATAGCTCAGAACGCTCGCTCAAAATCAGGGAGGCAGTAGATGTAGCGGCTATAAATGTTTTGATTTCTCGAACAGAAAGGAATTTCCAGAAACAAATAACTGATAACACTGTAAAAAGTGCCATCCATCAGGAAAGGACCGTAGGACGGTTGTTTGTCTAATGACAGGTCACAACCTACTGGCATCGCATGCGAGCCTAATGGGCATGACTAACGACGATAA